GTAATTAAAGAGTCCACTAAAAATGTATCTATCCATGTGGGTCATAAAACTGAATATGTTTAATAAAACTGTTCTAAGAAAAATGAAGATGCTATAAAATGAAAAAGAATTATTGCTAAATCAAGCATTTCATTTTTAAAAGGACTGACAGGTTTAACCATGTCTTTAAAAATCTGCTGAAAATTTCCTAATTAAGGTACATTTTCCAAATAGTTTTAGAAAAGTATAAGAAAACAAAGTCATTTTCTAAAATTATCAGAATACTTATTAATAATATATCAATTTTATTAAGGCTAAGATGTTTAATATGTGAAACAAATGGCAGAACATTTTAATGTTAAATTGAGTCTGTTCAATTCTACTATGCTATTTTTATACTAAAATTTATTAGCAATATAACTTTGCAAAATCTATTTATTTTTCTATCACAAATTGATCCTGAAATAAAAGCTCATATTTAGCAGACATTGTCAGTTCAATGGAATGCTAGAAATAAAATTCTATTCTCCTATTGGTTACTGTACTGATCATAGAAATTATGATAACCATAAACTGCAAGATGCTTTCATTTTTTGGAAAAAAATGAAAGGTTAAAATGTTAACAGGGTACACTTATCAAAGATTTGCTTAGCTAACAAGCTTTGATATAATCTCTGTTATAGGTATTTCCTGTCAGTTAATGAGTGACTTGGGTTCTTCAACTCCCAAAGCTGATGATTAAGCAGCAGGAAATTCCCTCTTTCATCATTACTCCTGAAACACGGTCCAGGACAGCTGAATGTCTGGAATGTGAGTGTTTAACGTCATCTTGGAATGGCAAGAAGATCACTATAAAAGTTAAAAAAGACTCAAATATATTAACTCTGTTAAGTTCATGATTCCCTTTTGATGAAATTGTTTTGAAAACTTATTGATGACTAAGGTACATGAGTATGTATTTGATGAACTCTGATCATCTTAAGGCTTGGGAAAGGAGTCTTAAGGCAGAGTTTAAGAAATTATGAGAACTGCATGATCTTACATCTAAACAGGTGGAATCTAAATAGGTTGAATTCATAAAAGCAAAGGATAGAATGGTGGTTTCCAGGGGCTCAGTGGTGGACAGGGCACAGGAGTGGAGAATATATGGTCAAAGGATGGAAAATTTCAGTTAGACTGGAATAATATGTTCAAAACATCTATTGTACAACATGATGACTATTGTTAATGAAAATAATTGTATACTTGAAAACTGCTGAGAGATTTTAAATGTTCTCCCTACAAATAAGTACATGAAATAATAATGTATGTTAATTAGCTCATATTAGTCATTCCACAATGGATGTGTGTGTGTGTGTATATATATATATATATCTCAAAACATGTTGTATACCGTAAACACATATAGTTTTTATCAATTAATTTTAAAACGTTTTAAAATAAGTATTCCCAGACATAAACACTACACAAGGAGACAGGAGACATGTTTGGAGCCCACCAGCTGCCTCTACCACTTACTTTCTCTAAGCTTCAGTTTCCTCTCCTGTATAAAGGGAGTGGCATAAATCAGTATTCCTATTTAAATGCCTATCAGGGCCAGAAAGCAATCTAAAGATGAAAAGGGGGCTGGAGTGGGAAAAATAAGGGAGTCTTAAGGGCTGAAGTAAACTGGGAAGCCCCTTTGAAAGCAGCAGCCACCATTTAGCTCCAGCAGTGTTGACCATGCAAAAATGCTAACCTAGTGTATTTTGTTTACCAGAAAAATCCAAAACTTCATTTTTCTGTGAAATGTAATTTTTTAATATCAGAAATAATTCATCCATTAAAAGCACTGTGTGGAAGAAATGTAAATTAACAGGAACAAATAAATGTTACCACCATCAGCCATGTCTTAGGGCTAAACTAGCCTGTGGGTGAATAGTTTCTTTTCCCTAGCTGAGGAGATCTAGCAGGTCTTTTCTAGTACTGTCCAAAGTATGTGCTTCAGCAAAGTGGACTCGCACGATTCTTTAGACTAGTTTTAGGGGTTGGCAAATGTTTTCCTAAACGTCTTATAGTGTATTGATCACAATCAATTAATACCGCCATTGTAGCATAGAGGCAGCCATAAACAGTGTATAAACTAACGGGTATGTCTGTGTTACAACGAAACTTTATGTACAAGAACAAGTGGGCTTAGTCCCAGTTACTCAGAGGGCTGAGATTAGAACTGTGTTAGCCCAAGAGTTTGAGGCCAGTCTGGGCAACATAATAAGACCCCATCCAAAAAAAGTAAAAGAAACACAAGTATAAAAAAACATGTGTGGCGGGCACGATGGTTCATGCCTGTAATCCACTGCTTTGAGAGGCTGAGGAGGGAGAATCACATAGAGCCAGGAGTTCAAAACCAGCCTTAATAACATAGTGAGACCTCATCTCTACAAGAAATTTCTTTTTTTAAGAGTTGAGGTTTCACCATGTTAGCCAGAATGGTCTTGATCTCCTGACCCTGTGATCCTCCCGCCTCGGCCTCCCAAAGTGCTGGGATTATAGGTGTGAGCCACTGTGCTCCACCTAAGAAATGTTTTAAAAAATTAGTTGGGCATGGTGGTACACACTTGAGGTGCTACCTATTCAGGAGAGCTGTAGTAGGAGTATCAATTGAGCCCAGAAGTTGAAGGTTATAGTGAGCTATGATGGCACTACTGTAGTCCAGCCTGGGGGACAGAGTGAAACCCTGTCTCTAAGGAAGTAAACAAAAAAACACATGGCCTGTCACAGGCCGTCCTAATTTGCCAACCTCTGGTCTAGAGAAATTCTAAGATAAACTTAGAAATCCCTGTAAAACTGTATCATACTTTTTCATAATTAGGTATCCAAGAAGTAATGTGGGAAACAAATATTGTTTGTTTGAAACAAATATGTTAACACACTCAAAGCTGGTGACTTCTCACAGAATGCACTGAATGCCAGGGAGATGGCTCTTGGACTTTCATACTTCTCCCCTGGGCAAGAATGAGCTTCCCTACTCTAGTACTAAACCTCATATTCTAATCTGGTTTATGCTGAATGACAGTCTAATTTATACTGGTTAGAAGAGCACAGCTCTAACACCAAACTTTCCAAGGTCCAATCCTGGTTTGGCTACTTACTAATTGACACTGGAGAAGTTGTTTAATCTCCATATGCTTCAGATTCTTTATTTGCAAAACAAGGTTAATTATAGAACTTCCAACATGGGACCTATGATGTAGGTAACCAATCAACATGTATAAAGTGCTTAAAATGATATTTAGTGCAAAATGTGTGTTCAATTTAAATATAATTTAAGTATTAGCAATAATTAACACAGCCATATTTGTTTTGGTTGCTGACATCTTCAAACATCATCTCATTTTAAAAAAAAGGCAAATATAGTCTATATTATGACTTTTTAATAATTGCCCATTATATGGTGAAAAGAGACCCCTGAATTAAAGACAGTCACCCACAATGCAGGAAGTATACCATTTCCTCTCTTTATTCTTCACTGTCCCACAGCAAACATATATACTTGACCTTCTCAATTTCTTCTCTGATAAAAGACTTCTCAAGGAATCCCTGAGAGTTCTTTATAGCTTATCCTACACTCAGAGAAGATCTTAGGGAACACCATCAGCTCTTACAAAGCTCTGCAGTTTCTCTGTGGAACAGGGTTGTGGTTTATCTGCTTTCCAACATCCTACAAGGAAATATCTTTCAAATGACATCACTTTGTAGCCCTTCCATCACCTCTAGGAGTGCCATGGGCCACTACAAGAGGTGGGTAACAGGAGTTCCCAGGCCAGAAGGGCAGGCATGGGTCTGAGAAGCTGGGGGTATGTCTGTGACTAAAATGTATATATTATCACTACCTTAGATTTAGTCACATGATATTTAAAGTTGATAATGAAACTTCTACTTTTTGTGCTCGAATCGATCCTATAATAAAATAAAGGCTTCCAGAATTAACTTGTATAAATAGAGAATATTAGGTGCAGTTCTATTTTAATACAATTTTTATCACAGATTTCTTAAAATATTCTGAATTTAGCTACTTGCAATAATAGCACATTTATAGTCTCATGAGGAAGAACCAGAGAGAGCACAGTATTTGAAACTATAAATCCTCATTTTTAAGAAATGGAGAAAAATGTTCAAAGAAAAAATGGATAATTCCTGATTATTAAGATTTTCTACAAAATGGACATTTTGATATTTAATACTGGCTGAGTAGATACTGTTCTCTTAGGTTTATTTAAGCCATTCAATTGAAATTTAATTCCAGGATAAAGATCTGTTATTACTGTATCTCCTTTGTGATTAAAAACAGTAACTAGCCAGGCATGGTAGTTCACGTTTGTAATCCCAGCACTTTGGGAGCTGAGGTAGATGGACCACTTGAGGTCAAGAGTTCCAGATCAGCCTAGCCAACATGGTGAAACCCCATCTCTACTAAAAAAAAAAATACAAAAATTAGCCAGGCGTGGTGGCATACCCCTGTGGTCCCAGATACTTGGGAGGCTGAGGTATGAGAATTGCTCAAGCCTGGGAGGTGGAGTTTGCAGTGAGCCAAGATCGCCCCACTGCACTCCAGCCTGGGTGACACAGTGAGACTCTGTTTCAAAAAAACAAAAACAGCAATAACTTTCTTATTAATTTCTTTTGTTTCAAGCCTAGTGTTAACATTTCTATTGAGACTCCATAATTATAACTGTGTTATATTAGTGATAAACAGTGTGTGATATTTTATGACATAGGGGAAACTTAAGAATGGTAAAACCAAATGTCTTGATGGAGCATGCATGGCTTGTAATCAAATGTGTGCTGTAATAGCTGAGCAGACAATGTTTTAAAAATTAAAAGAGCTTTTGAATGACAACTATATATATTGCATAACTATATATGTGTATATATAGTGTGAATATATATATATACATACATATATGTGTGTGTAAAATTCCTTGTTCACAATCATATTCATAGAACAATACTAAAAGAAAAGGAACATGCTACAAACTCACCACAGCTTAGGTTGCTTTCAGCTTTCAGAGCTAGATTTGGGATATTCCAGAAGTCATTTTGCCAGTCGACTACATTCCCTTTCACATTACAGCTGAGGTTGGAGAGGATTTTGGAATTCATGGTAAAATTCCAAAGTCGAAAGTTATAAATGTCCCCTTTTAGAGAGGCAATTTCATTTTGATTGGAGCCCAAAAACAGTTTTCCATTCCCAGGAATAACTTTACTAATGGTAGAATCACATTGAACTATTTCATAGTTTCTTTTGAAATTTACACCAACAGAGCCCAAAGAATTATTCCAAACAAGGCAGAGCTGCTCAAAGCTTTCTGCAAAAATGTCTTCTTTTTCCTTGACAGGTAATGCATTGTTCAGCAAGCATTTTGAATCTGAAATGGATAGAAAGTAGCCACTCTTGGCCTTTCCAAAACTGAGCAATTGTGTGAAGGATGCATTTGAGTAGGAGAAAGCTGTCCAATCATTGTCTTCATGGCCGACTTTGGTTGCTTCAAAGCAGAGTGTGAAAGCACTGAGCTCTGGAATGGAGACACTTTTTGCAATAGATACCTGGTAAGCATCTGATGTCTGGGGTAAAATGACCTTTTGATTCCTTAAGGACACAGCAACTAGGACAAAACACAACAGAGATAAACCTGTTAACTTCAGAACACAGACAAATGTGATGCAAAACATCAAGCCCTCCACCACCTTCTACTAGTTAACTTTTTACCTACCATTTGCCCCATCCCTCCCCGCTTTCTCATCCATCCTTTGTCACCAGCCCATTACCAATTGTCTGATATCAATAATAATAAGAAGAAATTCTACTCATTTCATCTCTAGTTATGATTGGATCTCACACCTAAATTTTTGAGTGACAGCCAGCCAAGCTGTTAAGTATTTTTTAAACCTGAAACTAAGAAATTAACAATTTAAAAGCCCCAACTACCTAATTGAGCAAATAACTGGTTTCAGGAAGGCTTTGCTTATTCATTAAGTTATCAAAAATACTATTTTTCAAGTGATTTCTAAACATAAATCATAGTTCTTATTTTCATCAATGATTACTTTTCACTCTTCCCAAACATTTCTGTGCTACCATCTTCGTTTCAGATACTCTATATCCTCCTATTTTTTCCCGCCATCATCAGGCTGTTTTAGGAACAAATACAAAGATAATTCTATTAAGGAGAGGGGATCTAGTGAAAAGTCCAACAAAATGGAAATGTAAGGTATCCAGGCAAATAACTACTTTTTGAGTAGTAAAAGAGCAGACCATAGAGCTTCCTACTCCAGCTCTTCTGGGTAGCGGCCATGTGACCCTGCGTATGTTACTTCATCTCTCTCTACCTTTGTCTTATCTGTAAAATGGGCAACAATGGCACCTATTGCATATATGGTCAATGAGAATTAAATAAGTTAATATGCCCAAAGTTTAGAGCAGTGCCAGTACCACAGCAATAAAGAGCAAGTACTATTATTATACTAGATGTGCAATAAATTCAAAATAGAAATGTATTCACCTAAACCTTCTATGTTACATGCAAAATTATTAAATAATACTATAGATTTAGCCCTATGCTAATCTAATAGCCATTGTGAAACTAATTTGAGAAAGAAGTACTTCTCCTAAAAAATGCTTTTTAATACTGGTTTCATATGAGTAACAGTTTGAATATATTTTAATATTCAGTACAAGAATAGTTCTATATAAAACATCATTTTAATATAACTATTCTAGTAAAAATCTGTGATAGAATTTAAAGGAATCATGGATTTTAGTCTACCTTTTAAATATAAAGCAGTTTATAGGTCTACTTAACGCAAAGAGAAACTTGAACAATTGAACCAGTACTCCACATGCATTGTTAAAATTAAAAGCCTAAAAATAGATATCACCATCAACATTTTATTGGTGGTTATGGCTGGGTGGCAGTTGTACAGTTAATTCTAATTTGCTTCTTTTTTTCCCCAATGTCCTATATTTATCATTTTCAAAAGATTAATTTGAAAAATTGTAAACATTATTTTGAAAAATTTAAGCATGTGTGTTTTAACTATGGCAAACACAAATAGCTCCACAATTAAAAAAAATACAGTTTATAATAGTGAGGATCATTTTCATAGTTTTACCTTTCTTTTTGCTTGTTTTCACTTAGAAAGTTCAGAAGAAAAAAACCAGAATAACTAAGTCATAGCAGTCATTTTTATAGTTGTACCTTTCTGTTTGTTTTTACTTAGAAAGCTCAGAAGAAGAAAAACCAGTAATAACTAAGTCTTATCATACTGAAGCTTGAGTTTCTTTAGGGAAACGCAGGTTTTAGAGAGAAAGATTATTTAAATGTTCTGTTGTAACAGAACATGGAAAACATATTTAATAAAAGTATGCTTATTTCCTTCAGTTGGCCATTTTTAGGAGGCTTTCCTCAAGCTGTGTTATTTATTAGCTTAAGTTGTTAATAGCTTGTTAAAAATTTATGTTCATTTTCTGTATTTGTTCCCTACTATAGTTCCTTAAAAGGGCAACATAAAAACCCAAAATAAAATGATTTCTAAATAAGGAGGTTTTAAATTTTCAATGGAGAGATGTTAGAATTACAGATTTTAATTATTAGCAGTGGAATATCTACAGTGTCTTCCAAGCAGCCTTTAAATGTTCTACATATGAACAATATAAAAGAATTCAACTCTAATATAACCAGATTTTGGATCTGGTAATTATAATTTGCTAACTAGAATGCTCAGAGAATATTAACAGGTTCTTGCCCTTAAATCCCAATCCTAATCATTCACATTCACATAAAAGAGCATAAGTCTGACTTCTGGTCCTTGTGTTTACTGCAGAACATGTTAAATGAAAGCAGAAGGTTGGCGCTGCCTTTGGTTTACATACCTCTGATGTAGCTGGCATTGAAACCTTTCTTCTGGATGCTAAAGTCACTTGAAAAGGACACATGCATCTCATTCACACTTGAGTTAAATGATAGGCCTTTGGCAGTTGCTCCACAAAATTTAGTCTGGCTCTCTCCATTATCAAGGGATAATGAGTCATAAATGCAATTGGGAGCTTCTTCAATGTCGAAGTCGTTAAACGTTATTTGAATGATGTAACCAGTGGGGGCTCGGAGGGTCCACATGCAAGCCTGGCTGTTCGGGTAGTCATTAGGGTAGCATGGAGAAGTAAAGGTCCCAGAAGGGTTGGACAAAACCACTCGGCAGTTGGCACATCCCCACACTGCTGGCCAGACAAAAGAGAGACAGAGAAAAGGGCTGGGTTCAGATGTGTACAATAAACCAAGAATACCACACACTGGGGACAATCAAGCAGTAAATACTTAAAAATAACAAACTACAATCATGAAATATAATGGAAAATGAAACCATCTTGAGGAGAAAAAACAAATACCAATAAAGCAACAAAAAGTAAAAGGGAAATAAAAAATTTTAAAGCAACAAATTCTTAAACTTGGGAGGCTATACAGTCGAGAATCTGATGACAGTTTTAGGAACTCTTTCCAGTAAAATGAGCAGGGGCCGCACACATTACAATTTCAAGGAGTGAAATGAAGCCTCAGGAGCCAACAGTGCAATTCACAAATGTTCACTGATCCAACTTAAGAATCTCTACTCTAGAGAGCAACTGAACTGGGGTGGAGGGGGTTATAGAATGATAAAGACAGTACTCGATATTATAAATCATGGGTATAAAGGAAGAGAAACTCTTAGAGAATGAATATTTTCATAGAAAGCTACCAATAGAAAAAATAATAAGCTATCTTCTGGCAGACTACATTTTTGTTCCTAAAATTCAAATAAATAGCATCACCTTGCCTACATGGATTACTTACAGTTTTGAGTTTGTTCACTTACCCCCTTCGTTTGTCACAGTTGGTAATTACATGCTTGTGGGCTCATCTCATGTACTCATTCATCCAGTGAATATTTGTTGTGAGCCTGTTATGTGCCAAGCACTATTCTAAATAATATATACCAGTGAGCAGGAAAGACAAAGTCTCTGTATAAAGGACTCTTGTTTTTTTTTTGAGACAGAGTTTTGCTGTGTCGCCCATGCTGGAGTGAAGTGGCATGATACCAGTTCACTGCAACCTCCACCAACCAGGTTCAAGAGATTCTAGTACCTCAGCCTCCCGAGTAGCTGGGATTACAGGTGTGCACCCTTACACCTGGCTGGATAAAGGATTCTTATACTTCAGTCTTGGACCTAAAGATAACAAGTATAAGGAGAGCTAAAGGTGGGGAAGAAAAGTAAAGCAAAGGATAAAAAGAGACTGAAATGAATGCTGGAGATGGTGGTTCTCCAAAGAGGTGACATTTGAGGAGAGACCTAACTGAATGAAGTGAGGGAGCATGTCATGAGCACACTAGAGAATGGCACTGCAGGCCACGAATGGAAAAATTAAAACCCATTGTAAATGAACATTGATCTTTCCCATGGAACTGCAAGGCCTATGAGATCTAAGATAATGTCACCTTTACTCATCACTGTATTCTCAGTGTACAGTTCATAATAAATATTATTGGAATAAATTATGTAAAGGAAAAAACCTTCTGAGGTAAACAGGAAATGCTTTTATCCCATATTCACTAATGAAAACAGGTTCTTCTCAATTATTATTTGTCCCACAGTTGGAACCAGAAACCAAGGTCTACTATCTTCCTGCCCAGAGATGCTTTTGCAACTAATATTAACATTGCTTTTACATATTTATATAAATGAAGACAATAATCTCATTTATCCAAAATTCTGGATAAATTGCCATTAAATGGACACATAAACTTTCCAACAATAAAGTAAACATATTAATTAAAATAACTAAATTTATTATATCCCTCCCTCTTTTAATGAGTTGACCAGTTATATGCTATAACATTTCTTGAAAAATGGTAATTACTACAAATATTACTATTCTTCTATGATATGGTGATATATTCAAGGACTAATTTGATGTTTTATACCACTCAGTTGAGGTTTTTCTATTCTTTGTGGCCACCTTGTATTACGCAATGTTTCACTTTGTAGACTCTATCCCCATCCATTCTTTTTAACTTGTCCTCCTCTGTTCTTTTTAAGTCTCTGATATCTTGTACAAGACTAAAGACAGACAATGGAGAACAAATGATGATCATCAAGTGTCTGCCAAACGCCTTCTCCTATCTATCCCTGGAGTACCATGTTTCTGTTTTGCAGCACTATTCAGAGCACTTGCGTTACTTCCATTTGCGAGATGATTTTCTTATTGTCAATCTTCATCCACTAGCTTTTAAACTCAACAAGCAGAGGGTGTGTGACTGTCATATTTGCCATTCTACTTTCCAGCACCCTACAACATCCCTGGAACATGGGAGATCTTCAGTAAAATTTGCTCTATTTATTAACAAATGAATAGCTTAAATGAATGGAAACATGCCTAAATTAAAGAATGACTCCATGCAGTATAACCAAGTCAAATAAATTCTTAGTATGAAAAGAAGATAGAATATACGTGCTCTGGAACATCTCTTTGGGTGGGGTGTTGGGCTGTTTCTTCCAATTATATCACTCATAGCACAGGACTGAGATGACAGGGACTTTCTGATAAGTTCAGCTTCATGTTACTTTGCCTTGGGCTCAGGAGAGACATAATCCTAGTAAATTAAAAATAATTTATCTACTTATAAGCACTGGAGATTAAAAATATAAAGGAAAATAAGCAACAATCTCAGTGTCATCCCAACATGCAGACAGGCAGCATCATTTTTCCAAGATGAGACACTATCCTTTATATACAAGGCCCAGGTAATGTTCATGACTTTATCTTACATATTATTTTTGCCAAATTCTTCCCTAAGAACTGAAGAAATTGTATAAGAAAATGTATTATCATTATTTTTTAGAGTCAGGGTATGGTCTCCGTCACCCAGGCAGGGATGCAGTGGCCCTCGCTGCAGCCTCAAACTCCTGGGCTCAAGCAATCCTCCCACCTTGGCTTCCAGAAGTACTGAAATTACAGGCCTGAACCACCATGCCTGCCGAAGGGGATAAGAAAGTTAAATCTGACTGATAACTCTGGCTGTGTAATCTTAAACAAGTTAATTTATCTGTGCCTCAGTATTTCCACCTTTACACTGGTGATAATGACAGCACTCACTTCCCAAAGTTATTGGGAGGATAACATAGATTAATATTGGAAAGTCCTGGAAATCATACTTGAGACTAGTATTAATAATTACTATAACACAAAATCAGTGCATTTAAAATTAAAGAGAGGTAAAATAGCAGCCCACCTTAATAGAATCTCTTTTCCTTAGGCATTCAGAGGAATAGAAAAAAGATAAAGATGAGACTCATAACATGAATTCTGAAAAACATTTGACATATTCTTCCATGTGATTCATATCTTCAGTGGCTAGACAGCATTTAGAGATAGTGCTACTAAATAGTAATTATCTTAAATAGATGAAATGTGAATTAAACTAGACACAATAACATCCTGTTCATTATACTCATACAGCAATTCACAATAACAAGCTTTCCCATATACCTCATTTAACATTATAATAACCCTGAGAATTATTACCACCTCTATCTTTAGGGGAAACAAATGAGGCTAATATATATTGGAAAACTTGCATGAAGTCACACATCTAATTGATAATAGTACCAAAATTCAAACCAGCCCTTCTGCATGTAAGCATAAGTGTCTTTCTAGGAAGAAAAAAGTTGCCACAATTAAAAAACACAGAGCAAAATGGGGAGCTCAAGTACTTCTTTAAAATTTTTAAATGGACAATTTCTTAAAAATAGTTTCATCACTCTAAAAGAAACATATTTTAAGAAATGAATTGGGAAACACCTTAATAAAAAATATTAGGAAGTATGAAATATAGTGCTTTGAATTTTACAATTTGGAGTAATCAAATATCACTGCCAATTGATTCCTATACTATGAGCTAGCCTACTAAGTAATTAATTACTTTGTTATCTCTTAAGAGTCAGGGCTACTTATTTCGATGGTTACTGAAGTAGCCATTGAATGAGGTATTGGTAAAGTCAGGATTAACATGTATTCTAAAAGCTATCCAACTCAAAGCATCTAACTCAATATCTTCTCAAAGACAGATATGGTAACATACTCTTACATACAATTTATAAAAGCACGGTTTTCAAGTCATCCAAACAAACAACAAACCAAATTCCACCCTCAGTTCTCGCCTATGATAACAAATATTTAGCAGTATTTTTCCTGTGTGTATTTTTACAAAAGTTTATTTTTCAATGAAACTCCAATCTATAATGAAAAATATTCTAGTCACGCCAAAGGCTAATTCAAATGATAAATAACATTTTGATACAAATTTAATAACCATTACCTTATGATTTTTTTTTTAATTTCAGATTTGGATACTTACTCTACCTTTGCTACAAGTACTTCTTTATAAACTCCAAATGCCTATTCTTTAAAATCTCTTTAAAACAAGAAGTTTAGATCCCAAGAGATAAATCAAAATGGGGATCAATTTTAGCTTCTTTCATCACAGATCTGTGGATGATATTGAATAATGGCTTTCTCTAGACTGTATTAAATGGTGAACAAAATGAATTCATTTAAGTTAATCTTGATGTTTATCTGAACATACATAAAACTGTAACTAATGAATCTGTAGAAAAACCTGACCAGTGAAAATTATCTCCAGAACATGTAGCTTAAGTTGCCTGCTTGGTCTGCATTTATTCAGTCATTATTTGAATTATCCATGAGGATATATTAAGTTCTTACACATGAAAAGCTCATTTATTGCTTAAAAGCATTTAAAATATTTAGTAGTCTTGTTGGCTTCTAAAGATTAAACCTAAGGGCCAGAAACGAAGAATTCTAGAACCAGTTCTATTACCTAAATCAGTAAAGAGCCAGGATAGATAGATACCATTTCTCCAGATCTAAGTAAATTTCTGTCAGATGTAATATCATTGAAATGTAAAATATCAGTAACATTTTAGATGCTGGCATGTATTAAATGATTGATAATATGCAGAAATGGATGACTTCATCAAAGTATTTTAAGTGATTTCAGACCCCTATCCAGATTTTTCAAGATGGCAAGGAATCCAAGGCAATCTGGCTGTTACATCTGTGATTCTGTTAATGTGACAGACTTGGCAAGCATCCCCACCACACTCACCATTCCTCCTCAAGCTCTGCATTCAAAAATAGCATTTCTACACTTGAGGAGGGT